GCACTCAAAACTTCACCACGGTAAATGACGATGTGGAATTTCCTTACAGAGCGTCCCACCTGACTTTAAGCTGTGTGGTGACAATCCGACAGTTCTGCAATCCTTTTCCCATTTCAACAAAGATACTCCGATCGACTTTATCGACAAATTGTTAAATAATTGATGCACATTCAAAATCCGATAATTGTTAACAAGTCATGTTCCATAATTTTCGCCAAGCAAAGCCAAGTGTTGCCAAGTTCATGCGGAAATTTTTCAAACGGTCTACCTACAATGACTTTTAGGACTAGATAATACAATGTACGGGATAAGGCTTTGATAAATTGCGCTTTACATTGTATGTCAGCGTAAAAATTCGAATGTTTAAGTGTAACCTGTCATAGCGTTGTGAATAAAGCGATGGACGCCTGCAAGGACTCACATTCAAAAAGAAACGCATTATTCCCAAAACTTATACGGGTTGCCTAGCACAATACATAGAGCATAGGTTCAGGCATTCTTTATAAAGTAGTACTTGTAACGTTCGGCGTAGAAGACTGAGTTGAAAGTTTTAGCAAAGGCTTTGGCCGCATATGACCTGGCGAATTATTAAAAATTAATTCTATTTCGATACAAGTCAAAGCCATCCCCGAACTGAATCTCAGCTTGCGATACCTCGAAAGAGGGTAAAATAGAAATAAAAAATGGCGTTACATCGAAAAAAAAAAAAAAAGTTCAACTTTAGATAAGTTTATCTTTTTAATTGCTAAGAATGCTGTAATTGAACGCGTGAACAACCGTCTTCGAACTGTGTACAAGATGCGCCTTATGGAGCTAAGATAATATGATGTTTTAATTGCTTGGATAAACTCTATTATATTGCTTTCGAGAAGCGGCAGTTTCACACTTGAAGACCTCATATGTACACGAGAAAGTAAGCATACACGAAGCTATTCAATACTTCAATATAAACGCATATGAATTATGATAAATGCTTGTTGTCAAAGAAATACCAGGAATAGTGAAAATTTTTATTTAAGAATCTACTTTTTATCGACCTTTAGCAGCATAACATCGGTTTTTTCTACAATTTTCATATCATCAAGTGACTCGCCTATTATGAACAGCGAGAGCGAGAGAGGGGATTTTGTCGTTTTGAACAAAATTCGGTTCTTTTAATGCGAGACAAATCTCAACTGCGTTAGAGTTTATTTAGGTCGTAGCTATAGTGGGTTTCCAGTTGGTAGAGACAAAACAGTTACCGGTTGGACATACATACATATCTCTACCTCTTTGCCTTTCCTCACTGCTTTCTGACTGTTACACGAATAGTGGACATATTCCATGCGATTGGTGATATCAAAAAGAAAGATAAAAAGAAATTTGCAACGAGTTTTTTGACAAAGATCTGCATGACAATCCTACCGATGAGAGATAATAAGATATTTCATATCTTGGCCTATATCATATAAATGTTTGTTTTACTATATCTTTTTCTCCGACGCTGCTGCATAATATTAATGGTTAAGCAGATGAGAGGAACGAAGGGAAGGCTTCAATCATTTTGCGACTTTTTGAAAATGCACATATGTTTCCAATAAAAAACTGTTACCTTTCTTCAAGTTTTTCGAATTGTTTCCACACGAAATTTAATGCTCCTAACAACCTACAGTTGTACGGTTTTATCCACATAAGAAATCTAATTAATTATAGCAAAATCTAAGATGAATTCCCGGAACTTTTTTGACAGAATGTACTTTTTTGACAGATGTGGTTTAATGTTGAAAAAGAAACACAAACACTAAGCACATTTTTTAACGCACTGCAGATATAAAGTATAGCTCTCTGGGTAACGGTTTTATCGTTTATAATTAAACGAAAATGCTTAAGCGGTAAACGAAGGTGCGGTTTAAACTTGAATTATATTGTAAAAAACATTGTTATGGGTGAAAAACTTTTCTCCTTCACTTTCTCCCTCTTTCTCTGCCGGCTTATTTCTCTTTTGTAAACGCTAGAAGAGAATGGTATTTAAAGCCTTGTGCTTCTTTGTCTTTCTTATTCTGTCTTTTCTTTCTTTTACTCTACATTGAATTCTAAACGAAATATATGATAAATGAAATTTTGCTGTCTTAAATACAGTTTCCAGCAAAACAAATGCTGCAACGTAATATTCAATGCTTTCTTTTACATACTCTTTGGAACATTTTCAAAGGTTGTCGCTAAGGTGTACAGTGCGATGCAAATGCATTTAAAAATTGAATTAAAATTTTCGATGAGAATCGAAGGTTATTAGAACACGTACGATACCTTTTGATTATTTATATAATTATTTATATTTGATTTGATTTGATTTGATTTTTGCAGTTAATTCGAATACTAAGAAATTTTATCAGCTTGTATATATGGTGGAGTGACACTCTCTCTGAGCGCTTTTTTCAGGCAATATTCGTTTCGGCAAGAAGTTGCTTTCGTTTTGTGAGGGATTGTTTATGTTTGCAGACTTATACATTACAAATAATATCTTTATCCATAATCGACAAAGACTTTAGTTGAGTCTTAACCGGCTTCAGATATACGTTGGGGTTTCTTTTGCATTTTCAAGTTTGTCTTTGCATTTATTTATTTATTTTTATTTTTTCTTTATTTTTCGCCTGAGTAAGAGAAACCCGTACGCATGCTCGTTGGTTGTGCGTATATTTGTGTTTGTGTGAATGTGTGTGTGTGTGTGTGTGTGTGTGTGTGAGAAAGTGAAAATTTTTAAAATTTGTATTGATATGATATTAAGTGTACTGGAGAAATTTATTATTATTTTTTTTTTTTTGTTACCATTATATGTGAAATTAAAATTTAGAAAACAAAAAATATTTAAATTACAAAATAAAAATGAAAAAAATTCAAATTAAAATCAAGTAGATCTAACAAGATAATAATAACAAAATACAATGTGTTATATATATATATATATATAAATATATATAACTTAAATAAATAAACAAAATAATATAAAATATTATAAATTTTAAATAAACGAAAGAACATTTCAAAAAATTAAATACACCTTTTTTTTTTTTCTATAATTCTCTTCAAAGTTTTGCTATCGGAATGAAAGTTTAAAAAACGTTTCATTTTTCTCTTGTTTTATTTATTTATTTTTTTTTTTTTTATGATATTAACTCCAAAAAAATCAAAGAACCGTTTAACAAATGTAGGTTACCAAGTGCTTTGCTATTTTCGACTTTTCTAAACAAATGACTCGGCTTACAGTGTATAATAAAACTAACGCCACCTATGTTTATAGTGAAGCATTTGGGATTTTTACATTAAAGCAACCAAGAATTTCAAGATTCACCTAAAGACTGTTTGCTAAATATGAATAAGATTGTGTAACTGTGACCGCAATAAATGAAAGGGCCAAAGATCGCAATAAAGTAAAAGTCAACTAAACATTTTCTGCCGAATAACCTCGACTTAGTCAAAGTTTTTAACATAATTTTCGACGCGAAAATCGAGTTAAGTTTTTTCATTATGTGCATATAAATATATAGCAACAGAGTGGAACAGATTCCAAAAAATGTTTTCGCAATGAGTTCTTAAACATATTGAAGCTTGCCAGTTCTTAATGGTCGGTCTCAAAGTCTAAAAAATTGAAATTTTAAGGCAGCGCATGTAACGAATATTCCTGGGGTGTATTGTCTGCGTTTATCGAATCACAGCTGTGGGAACCGATAACAGCAATAATTGAAAAATTCCTTTATACCCTTAGTAGAAAAAGGCAGTTAACATACGCATCGCGCGGTTATTAATTTGCTGAACAACAGAAGAAGAAGAAGAAGAAGAAAGAGATAATGTAGAAAGACTCATCGCTGTATTGAGGACATATCACATTCATCGAAGTGATTATAGTCTTTGTCATCCACAGGTCTGTTAAGTGAATTGCTGAACTTTAGAAGGAAAAGTAGAAGACAGCAACTAATGATAAATAAATTTGCGATATTTCTTGATAATCGCATTCTCTTACACACGGGACTATTTCGTCGAGGGGATTGTTTGCATTGTTGTTTGTTGTATGCAAAATCCGGAAGGACTTGACATGAACCCATCTTTTATCACGCCAAGTGATTTAAGCTTGTCTCTTTGTCTGTCTGTCCATTTTTCACTTGTGTTCTACCTACAGGCCACAATTTTTGATATATTTTCACGAAATTTGATACACTAACGTACTTCGGCAGAAGAACGAAGTTTATAGAAAACAGTTCGAGTCGGACCACACAACTTTCTATATAACGCACTTATTTTCAAAAGTCGTCAATAAAATCGAATAATTGTAAGAAGGTTTAGGGCATATTGTGGTAGACCGTAGACACTTATAGTGCGTTTTTTGGTTTGTTTTTATTTATTGAAGATTTTCAAAATCATATATATATATATATGCTCAACGTGTGCAAGTGGAAGGTGCATAAGAATATTTTTTCCTTTCTCGAAAATATTAGTTAAACATGAAAAGATTTTTTGCATATTTTTTCACATTACGGACTTTTGCTATAGAATCATGTCTTAGGAATTTTTATATCGAGAACTCAATATTTCGATTAGCGAAATATTACCATGAAATTTTAGAAGAGCGTGGAATTTGCAAATTATGTGTGGTCTACCGACAAAATTGATTACTTTTGAACATACGATTAGGTGAGGCAGCTTCCCATTGAACACAATTTAAGAAAAGTTAAATTCGCGAATACTCCTGCCTACTAAGTCAATAAGCGATGAGTGTATCATGACGAATATTAGGAGAATCGATAAATATCGGATAAAAGCCTTATCTCTAAATCGATACAAACATTTTCACTTGTGAAAAATTTTCCATATAAAGTCAGTCATTCTTCTATAATTGTTCATATCATTTGGTCGCGATTGTCTGAAATTGTTTAAATTTCAATTGAAATTTCAAATTTTCTTATTTCGCTGAAATTTCAAATTTTCCGGTAAATTATTAGACTTTTTGCATACATAAATCGAAGTCTTTTAAGAAAATAGACGGAAAGATGGCCGCGAATGTAATTAAAAAAATTATGCCTATGTTGGATCGTATTTTGGTACAACGCGCTGAACCAATGGCTACAACTGAGGGCGGTATTGTTGTGCCCGAAGATTCGCGTACTAAAATGATGCAGGGCACTGTCATTGCCGTTGGGCCGGGAGCTCGGAGCCATCAAAGCGATGTTCACGTTCCTCCTTTAGTTAAGGCAGGCGATCGCGTTCTATTACCGGAATATGGTGGTACACGAGTTAAAATGGAAGATGACAAAGAATATATTCTCTTCCGCGAATCTGACATATTGGCAAAATATGAATAGAAATTTCATGATGGTATCGTGCAAAAACAATTTCGCATCGCTGATCACTTATATAATCGTTATACTTTTAAGATTTCTTTAAAACTTTTTCTTAATATAATCGTTTGTTGTTTTTTGCCCCTTTTCATCTCTACGAACATGAAAAAAAAAAAACGCAGCAGTTCTGTTGGATTTTCTTGTTGTTTATAATTTTAAGTATTTTGAATATTTTGACCATAATAAATGCGTTTGGTGTCTTTGATAATTTCCAAGATTTGATTATTTCTTGTGCGGCGAGGTTGAAGCATTTACTTGAAACCGAGCGACGCTCGCCATTTTAAGTAGATATTGATTGGAAAGGAAGGGGGCAGTTAGCGGCGAGGGGAAGGATGCATTTAAAAGGTCCAAAGTTTTCAATGAAATCCAAGCTGGCAACAAAGTGTCGTCCATTTGTTTGCATCCGTTATGTTGAGCTTGGTTGGAAGGTTTACTTCCAAGAAATTCAACTCTTTGTATTTTTGTTTTCTTTTTCATTCTTCAAGATTTATATACCCTATAGAATACAGTTAAAATTATTGATAAAATTTTACTTCTTTTGCCGTTTAGACGATAAAGAAAAGAAGTTCTTCCTTGTCTTTTTGAGTATTAAAATATAGAAAAAATATCTTTTTTTTCTTTTTCTGTTATTCAGCAAATTAACAACAGAAAATTCGCTGGATTCTATCCTTATTCTCTCAATATAATTTTTTTATTGTCTGCCTATGGCAACCTATGGAAGAATCTGCGTCTGTTTGTATGTGGGGTAGATACATAGCAAATACAAAAGCAGTTTGAATAAATGCTAAAAAGGATAGAAAGAAATTAGGATGAGTCGAATTTTCATAAAAGCATAGATACTTATTGGGCGTTGTTGCTTTAAAGCGTTAATAGATTGCTGTATGATAGATAATTCCCTTCGCTTCTGCAGTTACAGCAGCATAGTAATGCTGTGTTATTATTATTATTGTCTCTACTCCGGGGAAGTACGAAATTACCGTACATTGCAAATTTCTTGTCTCGCACGTAAACTTCAAGAAAAGGGGCGAGAGATAAATATTGGTTATTTAACTCAACGCGCAGATAAATTTAGAGCGTCTGGCTTGGGTTCCAGGAGAGGATAACAAATACGCCAACAGGTATGGCTTTCATTTCCTAAAATTTTTTTCACAAAAGTTTGAATTGTCTGTACGACTTGTATTACATTCATTTTCATAAGGTCCTTGAAAACGAATGCAAATTTTTTAAGACAAAATGGCTACGGCTTTGCATTTCCGCATCGAGTACTCACTTTTAAACTCAGGCTGACCAGAAAACTGCCACTTGGGAAAAGAATTTTAAGATTGCGATGCAAAGATTAATTTTTCATTAATTCTCCAAAGCATAATCCAATTATTTCAAGTTGCCCGTTTCCGCGGAAATTGTTATATTATTTACCAACATCCCCGCTCAAAAAGACAAATAAAATGAAGAAAGCTCTACGAGAGAAACAAGTTGCTTAAAAATTTTCCTCGAAGTATGCTTCTCGTCAATTAATCTACATATGAAGCGCATAAAGAGTACCATATTTAAATTTCGAATATCTTACGTAAGAATGTGAATAATATCAAGTCGTTCGATTTTATTATGGGAGGAAAAAAGAGTACTTGCGCAGAAGAAGCCTAAACTGACTTCTTAAAAAGCAAGAAGACTAAAAGTGATTTGTTCAATAGCAAGTTTGCAAATTCTAGTCTGATTTTTTACAGATTGAAATGATTACACGATTCAAGTTTATTTTTAAATATCTCATGCAGTCTAAGTTAACACTCCTTTATACTGAGCGCATAGAGAAGAGAAGCAATGTTAAACTAAAATCAAATATGTGTTGTAAGAATAATTAGCAGATGTTTGTCTTTAACAGACTACCTTAAAAATTTGCCAAAAATATAAGGCAGACATCTGGGCATAGATTCACAATCACAATATTTTTGTTGACAATTGATACACAAAGCTTTTTGCTTACAATAAATTGTTCAGTGAAATGAAAACTTTATAGCGTTTTTTTTTATTTTTTTTTTGTTATCAAAATTAATGAATTTTGCGAAATTTTGGCAACAATTCCAATAATAACATACGATGTACATTTGTACATATGCATATACAAAATAGTTAAAATTTCTCGATGTCTTGTATTGAAAACAAAATTCGTACAGCAGCGATTAAGATAAGATGTAATAAAAAAAAGTTTTATAATTTTGGGAAATTTCACAACGGCACTCTGTAAACTATGAAAAAATATTATGAAAAAAAAAATTCAAATAAAAATATTCATTTATTTACCTGAAATTATAACACTGGGACGAAATATTTATTACGTGTAAAGAGATGAAGTTTTCTCTTGTCTCTTCTTATCTCTTTCTCTTCCTCTCGATCTCTCACTGTTTTTTTCTCTACTTCTCTTTTCAATTTCCCTTATGTCGCGCTTGTAGGCCGGTTCATTGTCATCGCGATCATTGCCTTCAATGAATGAAACTTTCAATGAATGAAGTGAAGCGCACGACTATGCCGTCTTAGCAAGAGTTTCGATAAGTAGGTCAAATGAGCAACTGCTTAAAAAAGGCAAGCCTGCGCGCGTACCATATACATCATTAGTTAAAAAAAATAAATAAAAAAAAAATAACAAATATAAAAGCATAAATATTATTATTATATATTTTAAAATTTTTACTGTCATTATCAAATCCTACTTAACCTCATAATGCGGTCAATGTTTTTAAACTTTTCTCTCTCTCTCTCTTTCTCTCTTTCTCTCTTTCTCTTTCTCTCTCTTTCTTTTAACATCGAAATTATGTTTGAACGAACGCCTGCACAAAATCACATAAAATGGGATTTTTTAAGCTTCAAGCCAGTAAAGGCATTTATACCAATATGTAAACTATTTATGAAGAATGCCTTCTTAAGACAGTTTTTGTTTTTTTTTTTTTTTTTTGCCTAACTGATGTGAAAAGGCCGCAACCTAAAATAGCTTAGTAAATGAGTTCTTAAATAGACACGACAATGATTTCTCCATGCAATTAGTCAACTTTGCAAGACGCTTCCAATCAATTTGCAATCCTTATCATAGTGAAACATTGTACCGATCAAATGTGAAAGCATCTCCCACTGAATTTTGTTTGGTAAATGACCACCGGTGCAACATCTTGATCATCTTTTCAATGCACAGAAATTCTTCCAAGAAAGTAGGCATCAGTCTCGGTAACAATTTTGCAAAAAAACCTTCTCATCGCTCTAGTTATACTTTAGATTACAAACACTAAAATCTAAGCAACATGTAAACGACCTTCTGATACGTGCTTTAGATCCAAATGCAAGACAAACAATATTCGCGAGGTCACTGAGCAAATAGAAACAAGTGCTTAGAATGATTTGCACTAACGTTATGGCCCACGAACAGAAGCTACATAATGTGCTCGACTTTAGTATCCGCTGCCAAGCGATCATTTAAGTAAGGGGACTGTTATCTGTCTACGAAAAATTACCATAAAAACTAATCGCAAAATTCGTAATTTTTTAAAAAGATACCGCAATAAAAAAATCTTATAATCGCTAGCACAATGTCAATATATCTTTCCCGTTCTATATTATATACGATCTTTATTGTCAATTGAATTGACCACTTATCACGTGTCATTTCTATGAAAGCTTTCCGGAAATTCTTTTTTGTATATGCCCATATACGTAAGGTTCATAGGTCAACTTATATTTTTGCTTTAAAAACAGTTTTAAAATGCGGCTTATAATCAAAAACGTTATTATATAAGGTAATTTCGATTTTTATTTTGTTTATTAAAACTTTATCTTAAATTAAAAAAAAAAAAAACAAAGCCTTTTTCAATTATTGCCCTTGATTTTATTACCTCTTTCTTGAGTTTTATTCAAATTTAAATAAAAAACAAGTAAAAAAGTTAGTTAGAGTTGAAACCGAATCTTGTATACCCATCATACCATCATTAAAAACTTTGTGCCACATGTTCTTGTTAGCTCTATAAATAATATCCACATATATATATATATATATATATATATATTATTTTCAAATTTTTATTTCAGTTCCCGACTATTCCCTACTTTCTCCGAATGGGGGCAAACAGTTGACTGTGATGTATTAAATGCCTCTACTAATTCTATATACTGATTTCTTTCCAGGGTTTTTACCAATATTATCTTTAAAAGATTGTCGTCGAAGCCGAAAGGATCTTAAAAAGCGATATATCCTTCAAGCTCGTATCTCTAGAACGAATTTTTGCTAACCAATTTCCAACTGCCCTCTTGTTTACATCACTTTAACCCTATACACTGCATATTTTTTCATGGATCGCCTTGATTGCATCACTTTATTTAAACTTCCAAAGCTTGACATGACGAATACGTAGTGTTTCACTTCAACATGTCAAGTTAAATGTGCCACACGCAAAACACCCACTGTTTATGCCAAAGCGAAAACTCGTTAATCGTTTCAGCGATGACTTAGAGTGGGCAGACAGGTACATTAATTCTGCTCACTTGTATCTACCCTCCTGAAATGGAAGTTTTTTTTATGACTCGGCCTAATATTGACGATCATACAAAGCTTAATGGGATAAAATTTATCTTTCACCTTTTACTTCGCCGAAAGGTTTTTATTAAGAAAAACTAATGCACAACATCGTGATGTTCACCATAATTAATTTAGAATTAACACATTTACCTTGTGACCTTCTACTCTCCAAGTGTTTTTATTTCGTATCCATGTCGCGGAAATCGAAAAAATTAGTCCACCATGCCGTGGTGTTCATCATATTTATTGTGGAATGAACGCATAAGCGGATAATATATCTTCGTCCGAGGAATGCAAAGAAATACTTTTAACTAGTCTGTCTTGTTTACCTTATGATTAACAAGCATAAAACATCAAGATAGTGGGAGAAAAAACAATTAATCACTTGCAACATTTATGGGCATGGTCGACTCTTTCCACATAATTATTATAGTTAAGTTTTTCGTAAAGTAAATGTGGAAAATTTCAACCTCCCCATAAATTTTGGTTTAGG